TCTCCGACTCAGTTTCATCCGGTTGTAACAATTCATAATACAACACACCTTTCCAATCCCATCAGATACAGAGCAAAACCTTCTTGGCGTGAATATTGGGCTTTGGCGTCGATGTCGAAGGTTCATCAGGGTCAACCCATGATTTTCTACGGTTAGGATTATCATAAAGAATCCACTTTTCACCTATAATGATTTTGTGCAGAAAATCTTTTTTCCGGAACTTTGAAAGCAAAGTGAGTGCAGTGTCACGCCGACGATTTTTGTTGTCTTCGGACAATTCATGCGAAACCCATCTGCCTTCCTTCTGAACCTTTCCCATCGTATGTAAACGTACGGAAATGGTTTGCTGCGTAACGCCAAGCTGTTCTGCAAGCTCCTTTTCAGTTTGCGCCGAGTTTATATCCAGCAGTGCTTGCAATTCGTCCGTTTCAATCTTTTGAGGGCGTCCAGCACGCGGTTCATCTTCAAGACTGAAATCTCCTTGGCGAAATTTTTGTTACCATCTTTTACATGTAATATGACTTACAGCGTTCTTTCCATATGCAGCACAAATCATTGCAGTGGCTTCAACAGCATTTTTCTTCAGATGAAACGCGAAGTGGATGGAAAATCGAATATGCTCTTTTGTTATTGCCATCGTGAACACTACTGATTTTTGAGGTTATGTGCATCAAACGCCAAACCGGCATTTTAGAAGGCCAAATGTCAACGCTTTAAAACCGCAAAAGAGCGAGAAGATATATAAACTTTAAATTATTTCGGTTGTATGAAATCTAAAGCTCAGAACTTTTTTGTACACCTAATATTTATTTGTAAAATAAAAAAATTTCACAAATACTTCTACAATTATTAAAATATGCTTGATATATGTTTAATATACTTTATAATAAGTTCTATTTCATTATTACTTAAGAATGAAAAGAAATAACTATTTTCTGCAGAATAACTCACTCTACAAATAACACACTTTCGAACCATTATTTCTTTTTAGAAATATAATGTGATATTCCTATCATGTATTTCGCAAATACAATACTCCGCAAATAACGTACAAATAACCTCAAACTTTCCTTTAACTTGCATAAGTATACAGCAATAAAAATGCATTAATGTATAGTATATGTCAAGCATGCGCAAAACGTATTTCCGGACACTTTTAAAAAAAGAGAAACATTTCTCTCTCCAACCTCCCGCGGACATAATCATATCTGTATTAACAGTCCATACATATAAGATCTATGGTCAAAAAGAATGCAAATCAACAGATTACTACTTAGTGCTACTAATCTATAGAAACTAAAATTATTTCATTTAGTGGATTTCATTGATACCAACATTATTTTCTCCATTTCCGGGAAATTGTCGTCTAACCGATCGTGGGTGCAGTCCACTTGGTGCTACAAATAAAGACTATAAGAAGAGACTCGCCAACTCGTCACGTGACGTTAGTAAATTCTGATTGGCTGAGGTATGGATTGCACATCTATGCT